AGCATGCCTTTCTCCATCCCCCACAGGTCCACACTCAATTTGTGTACCTGCATTACCGGTAGTAATGCACGTAACATTGGGTGAGGGAATCAGGATAATTATTGCATTAACAGGTTGTGCTTTTAATGGACTACATAAGCCCCTTGGGTAAGAGGAGAGAGGTCAACGTTAGTGTTAAAGGACACGTGTTTGCGGCAGAAGTAATGTCTGTGCTACTGTGAGGATCCGAGTTTTAGTCTTGTGGCCCTTGAGCACAAGCACACACGTGGAGCATGCTCGACGCTTCACGCCAGGAGAGGGTACGTCATGTTAAACCTTTCATGGTGAAACGCTTTTTGTGTTTCGTTTGTTGTCCCCCCCCCTGCCGCACCTCCGATTAGCACGGTTGTCAACATACGGTGCCAAAGAAGTTCAATGGGCAAGGCAACAAAATGCTACGAATTGTAATCAGGAAATGGAGGTTGTGATGGGTGATACACTTGCGCAGAGCGGAGGAGGGCACTGAGGCGCCAGCCTGCAACGGTGGCGAGATGTTATTTACCTCGCCTGGTATACCAGAGGTCGTGGGTTCATTCCCGACCAATGCTATGCCTGTATATTTGGAGTTGGCAAGTTTTCCCCATGGTCACGTGGATTTTTCTCCGGGTCCTCCGGTTTTTCGCTCCACGTGTTTTGGAGTATTTGGCTTCTATAAATTTCCACGCGATGATAAGCCACTTCATTGAGCTATCATTTGTGGCCAGGTCGCTTCTGAAAAAAAGCTGTGTATAGCTCAATGGGCCTTACCTGGTAAAATAAAAAATAGTTGAGTAGTTTTTGTTTAATTTAGTTATCGAGACAGGCATTGGAGTCCATAATAGAGCTTTTTGGGTTAGATCGTGTAAATATAAATGTCGTTAAACCTGCCACCACCCAACACAGCCATTTAGTAATGTTTGTCAGCTAAACAAAACATGCCAATTCGTTACTAGTACAGCACACCAATTGTACAACATTTACAATTGTACAATTGTAAATGTTGTGAGTTTACTCTCCAACACACCGGTGTGCTGTACTAGTGACGACTTGTCATGTTTTGTTTACGTAATACACACATTTATATTCACGCGCTCTAACCCAAAAACCTCTAATGGATAATATTGGTCGCGAAAGCCTACGTGTTTAACTGTACTTTCTTGAGCTTGCACGGCCGAGCGGTACGGTGATTTAGCACATGGGATGATGATGATGATGCAGTACGCGGGGGCAACAGCCCTCATCTCAGTTCTTTGTCACGCCATGGGATGACTGCAGGCTGACTTTCCAGTGCAAATGTGATTCAGTAGAAAGTAATTTCTCGCTCAACGCGGTTTTCACTTAACGCCACTCTTGTCAGGAATGCGTCAACTCTCGCTTGGGTAAGAGTAGAGAGGTCAACGTTTGTGTTTACTGTTTCCCAAAACTACAACACGAAATGTATCGAGTATATTTCAATATAATGCCACACATCATTGACTGGTTAAAATATATATATAAAGCCTACATACGGTAATGGGATCGAAAGGTTAGAGTTCAAGGGTTACTATCTGTCCTTTGTAGCTGTTCTCATTAGAATCAAAGCATTAACTAACACAAACACCTTTTATAATTAAAACAGATCCTGAAAAGAAGCATGTGTATTTTCTGTAGAACATTTAAAATGTAAATTAGATCAAAATTGCAAGGTAATCTTTTTAAATGCCTGACAAAACCGAGTGAAAGCAATGGCCGTAGTGACTGTTTGTCACGTGTAGTTTTGCTCTATTTCTTTAAAACGTGTTTAAGGAGGAACTTTTATGTAACTTCATACATAACTGTCACACGGCAAGCATCATTTACGTCTACGTCTGTGTGTTTGTGTGAGGGGACCAGTAGTGTCACCCATTGAACATAAAAACCTCATGAAGATTACTCGTGAGAGAGGTCCATTCGGTTGAGATATTTTGAAATTTACCTATTTTCAATGAGAAAACGTGTGATTTTGTGTCATTCCTTCCTGGTCACAAAAGCAAAGTTTGTGGGGAATAATAATCGCCATTTTCGATATTTTTGAGGCATCAGCAATTAGAAAATAACACTTACTACCCAGGAACAAAAATCGTGTTACATAGTGACTCCTGTGCTGATGTCACCTATCCTTACACACGGTGTTTTTCCAGATACAGTACGTTAATATCAATAACAAAGACACGTAATGCATAAGCATATGCAAACATGCATAAGCGTGTGTATAATTTATGTACACACAAAACTAATAGATACAAACATTGTTCTTTCGAAAATCAAATTACTAACACAAGAACGATTTATTTTACTCCAAGCAAGTGAAATCCATCGTTTATTTTGTTCTAACATATTCAAAATTCACTTCATTTCGGCATCTGTACCATGTTACCCAATTAACTGTTTATACGAAGCTGTTAAAATGTGAAATATGTAACGTTAAGATATATGTGTTGAAAAAAAAGGCAGATTTTTTGCTCATTCAAGCCTACGCGTGTGTATAGGCATGTGTGCGTTAATTTATGAGCACATTTTTTTTCATTTCTAACGGAAAAGAAAAAAACGTAATTATTTACACATTGAGAGCCTCTTTAGAAAGTATGAACATTTGTAAGAAAAATCAATAATTGAATTGCCACACGACACAGCTTGATCAATCCCGGCACAGGCATTATTGCAACTGCAATAATTACTCACAACAGGTAGGCCCCGCACCAACAGAATTAGCGCAGGAGATGTAATCATTTGTCCGTCGCGGTGGTGAGATGTTAACTACCTCGCCGAGTATACAGGAGGTCGTGGGTTCGATCCCGACCCTGACGAAGCCTGCACATTTGTAGTTTGCGTGTTCTCCCTGTGGTCGCGTGGATTTTCCTATGGGTCCTCCGGTTGTTTTCCCCTCCACATTTAGAATCAAGGTGCGTTTCGGAGTATGTGGCCGCTATAAATGTACACACAATGAGCCACTTTTTTGAGCAATAATTCGTGGCCAGGTCGCTTCTGAAAATGAGCTATATATCACTCAGTGAGCCTTCTTACCACGTAAAATAAAACATAGTTTTAATATTGATTTAAAGCTTTTGTGACTGCAGGGATTCATATTTCTGGTTGTTTCGGTAAAGTCACGTAGACTAATTTTATGTTTTTATTAATGTTTTAGATTTTATTATTGTATTGTTTCCCTTATACGTGACTTTACCGAAAGAACCAAGAATATAGTTTTAATAGTTGACAGTTTAATCCTCTTAACAAAGAGACGTGGGGGGACTTTGTCGGCAGAAGGGGAGAGAAATGGAGGGGTGGTGGTGGTGGTCGACGACATTCCACCTGCGCTTCGGCACGAAACATTGCGACGTGGAATGCGCCGCCCGTGCAGAAAATAATTAGCGAAGATTAATTGGGGGAAAAAATTGCGAGATGAAATTAGTGTGACGTTTGAATCGAGTTTTCTGACGAGAGCGTTAATGTTGCTTGCCTCTGTATTTAGAAATAACTATTTTCCCAGAACTGTGAATTTGTTTTCCCGCGGTGATGTGTTTATTCCATCGTGTCGTTATGTTAATTAAAAAAAGAAACATTTACAAAAATAGATACTCAGAAAATCGCAGGACCACAACCCTAAAATGTAGTGCAATTAGCGGCACGTTAAAACAGTCGGTTTAAAAAAGAATTAAGATATAAACTGCTAACTTGAGAACTAATACTTTAGACGTAATAAAAAAAAACTGGCCTGTGATTTAAATGCATTTACAAACTCGTTTGTCTAAATATTTCAGTTATTCCCTTTCACATTAATGTTACCAGTCAGCAGGTTTATAGAGTATTTCTCAGAAGCCATGCGCAGATGATACAGCACAGCGCTCAACTTTCTGCAAGTGTGAAAGATAAAATAAAATCTTATTCGTTTTTTAGATTATACTCCATGAACGTGTACACACACGCACACACTATGTAATTCGTCCAAAGAGCTGACACCCAGATAAAATTAGAAAGTCACAATTAAAAACACACAGAACTAATTATTTTACATTTGCCCCGCTCCCCACCCCACACACACACACTGCAAAACTTTGGAAAATTTCTACATGACTGCGAACCCTAACGCTGCATAAATTTTATGGCTTAATAAATATATGGAAAGGGGCATTTTAAATTAATTCAGGTTTTTTAATTATACTTAATACAGACCAAATGCACTTGTTTTACGCTATGCACAATTTTAAATATGCCGCATGGGAAAGTTGGTCACTGTCCCCATGCTTTTAGAAGGGGAAACTTAATTAACTACATTAAGAGTTATAAGGATTAGGTTACACAGTAAGATTAACTCTGAATAACTTTTGAAGAACCAGAGATCTGCACGAAAGGAGATAGGAAGGGCTGACGTTCATATCCCTGAGGACCAAATAATGACATCGTAATGCAGAGGTGTCAAGCAAATTACATATTGGAATTCCAAGGATTTTCCAAACCACTCTTGCATGAGCCTGAGCCAGTCTGCTACTGAGATGTGCGCACATTGGCATACAAAAAACCCTACTCCTACGGTTGCTCCATCGCATTTATCAGCAATGCGCTAAGGCCCGAGTTTGAATCCTGCCTGTGGCTAACATCAATGGCACGTGATATCTGACAATGGTCCTGGGCCACCCTTCCCTCAGTGACATGTCAGCGAAAACTCTTCATTCAGCAGTGGATTGATAAAAGGCAGTGAATTAGTTGTATTTTTTATATATTAAAATCAAAACCTCAAACACCCATCATGAACGCCTGTATATGAAACACAACCACAAGTCCACTGGCAACTCGTTTTTTTTTTTAAATAAGTGACGGAAGTACAAACGTCGCTTCTCCCCACACAGCCCTCGGGGTTGACCCCAAGTCTCTGCGTCAAACATCACTTCGGCTTAAATACGAACCGCATTGCAGACTTTGCTCTACTCTGCACGAGGGCATCTTACGTGGCGAACGAGGCTCACCAGAATTCGGTCGAACTCCCCCCGGAGCGAACGGGTCTGAAGCTTTAAACGGGTCGGCCTATGGGTGAGAGGTGGATGGGTAGGGGGGGGTGGGCCAGGGGGGGCGAAACGACAAAGGCATCGTTAGGCACGCGCCAGAGAGCAAGCGGTCACTCGGATATGTGACTCACCCTTCAGCACCTCCGATTAGCACGGTGCGGTGCAAAACAAGTTCAATGTACATACAGCATTACATCCCGCCCCCCCCCACTATTAAGTCTTGAGCACCAGTGTCTTTCTCAGCATCGTTCAGTTAGTGTGTTCCCCATTGAGTACTCAATGGACATATCGAGTATCTATGAGCATCGTAATAATACTTTAATAATACTTTCGTACCTTTGCTACGTTTCACTGGCACGCATCGTCTGCCAGCAAGGGGGTGAGTTTGCTTCGTGGCTTTGCCCAACGTGTAGAATTTTGGATAAAACGCCCAGTATCTATAAAACCCATAGTATCTATAAAACCCATAGTATCTATAAAACCCGTAGTATCTATGCGCACATATAATCCTCTCCGAACAGAATTGCGTACCTTTCTCTGAGATGAGAACGGGGTTTAGTCTCAATTTGAGGTGAAATTTCCGATTCATTATTTTAGTCAGTGATGGTTTTTGGGTTAGATCGCGTAAATATAAATGTGTCGTTAAACCCGCCACCACCCGACACAGACAATTAGTAAGGTTCGTCACGTAAAGAAAACACGCCAATTCTTTACGGGGAGGGTTTAACGCCACATTTCTATTTACGCAACCGAACCCAAAAACTCTCTATCATGGATAATATTGGTCGCAAAAGCTGACGTGTTAAACCAGTGATGACGACCGGTTATCGGCTACATTATTCCATGAACCTGATAACCCAAACATGGTTGAGCAAATGAAATCAAATTCACGAGTAAATTTGGTGGTGCGCACCATTGTGATACAACGAACGCAAAGGCACTGGTGGGTAGCGCATGCCACAGTGGAGACGAGGGCTGGGGGACCTCACAAATGTTACGAAGCATCCTTCCCGTGCACGTCAAGGTGACGCCCCCTGGCACGCCAGGAGAATGCGGTGCGGCAAAATGCTGACTTCTACCCCATCTATCCCTTCTTTATGGGATAGAGTGCTGCCCCGTTGCTCTTGTGGGTTTTCTCCGGGTGCTCCGGTTTCCTCCCACTAAAAAAACTAATTAATTGGCTGAAAAAATCTTAACACAGAGGACCACAGAATTCGGACAATTGTTGGCGCCGGCTTGCCGCAACGGATGCCTTCCCGCTTGTCTTCGATTTCCTCGCGGCTCCGAGTCGTTCTCTCTCTCTCTCTCTCTTGCGGAAAAGTGAGCGAATGTTCCGTGACGCGTCGCACTTTGAAATCATTGTTATGCTCAAAGCGGATATGTGACCGCTGGACACCCGACGTCGTACTTTAGTTAAACGCGTTTACGTTCAGTGACAACACTTTCTGCATTGAGGGGGACCTCTGTGGTCTACGTTACTGTCAATAACAAATCAACAACTTTATACTACAATTGCAACTCATTTGTCTTTTGCAGACTCATTAAACAAATGTGAACACGGAAGACCGGCTGTTATCAAAAGTGGAACTACTGTGGTCCCAAAGGACCGAGGGTTAGTGACCTGTGATGAAGTAATACAACAGATGACAAATTCAGACTAATTGGGAACAAATTTGTAAAGCATATCATTTGCAGTCGTTAAAACCAGACAGGGTTAAAGGTAAACTCACTGTTGGCAATTTACCGGCAGTGTAACTTTAACAAATCATTAGTTTTGAAGCAAATGTGAAAATTAAGTTGAGACACCGTGCATACTCGTGAATACAGATATTAAAAATGCAGTGTTTCTTCATACAAAAAGAATGTAAACACTTTAAATTAGGACTTACACGGAATTCTACAAATCCTGGTTATATAATTTTCATACCAATGAAGCATTCCGTTCTTGCAATGCCGTGGAATGATAACACGGACATAACAAAGCCTCGTGAACAGAAATTATCTGTGCGTTTTTTTTTCTTAGCAGCAGCAGCAGCAGTACCCTCAACATGATGAATGGAAGCGGCCGATGGCTCTGCAGGGCAGCTCTACCCAACTGCCTTGATATTTAGCTGAAGTGTTCCAGAGACTGAATTAAACTTTGCGACGATTGAACACGCCGTGGCAAAAGCCTGAAGGACGACTGGAAACAGCCACGATGCGTGTTTGGACAAAAGGTGCAGCAATTAGCAAGAACAACGCCCTGACCTCAACGTAAAAAATGGCTTGGAAATCGGACCGTAGTTTACCGAAGTTCATCACAATTGCCCGCATCTCATGCCACTGCTGGTGTAAGTGCCTCAACTACAGGAGCTCCAAGAGAACTCCTCTAGAGGATATATTTTGGCCTACTCTTCCATGCTGGTCAGACACCTTGGAAAGAGGAGGGAGTACGCACGATTTACATCATCACAAGCGACCTGTCGATCGACTACGGTGAACCGAGCCGGCATGCCGGGATATCAAACCGTCGACCTCAAGTCTGCTAACCCTTATACGATGGCCGCATCCATTTGTATATGCATAGTAGTCTGTGCATTAATAAGTACCCGTCGTTGAGCGACGCTCCTCCCTCCCACCCGCTCGTCCCCTCCACCCCCCCCCTGGCACCCCCCACCACCTGGGCCCCCCCTTCCCTCGTGCCCCTGCACGCTGGCCGGTGCATGGCCTCCAGTCGATCAGAATGGCGGGAGAAGACTGACAAAGCTGTCAGATTTATTTTTTGTTTGCTAATAACACAATTGTAGTTACCTTGGTGGTGGTAGTGGTGCTGCTGTTGAACGGGTCCGAGCTGTTGGATGAGAAGGGGTCTTCGGCGATTGCCTTGGAGAACGGCCCGGCCGATTTGGACCTAAACGGGTCGGCGTCACTGCCTGCCCTTGAGAACAGATCCGCAGACGAAGCCCCGGGCTTCGAGAAGGGATCGGAACGACCGCCACCACCGCCGCCACCAGCGCCGGCAGTGACCTTCAAGAATGGGTCGCTCGTGGTGCTGCTGCTGCTAGCGAAGAGGCCTGGTCCGGTACTCGGCTTGCCGAAGGGCTCTTTGGGAGCCGGTGTCGAGGTGGAGGAGGTGGTAGTGGTGGTGGCGAGGCTGGACTTGCCGGGCTTCCCGGCAGAGGAACCTCCAAAGGGGTCGCTGCCCTTGAATGGGTCCTCACCAAACGGGTCTGCGTTATGGGGGGCGAGGCGACGCGGAAGAAAAACGGCCGTGCGTGAGGAAAACGTCACGTGGCTCGGGGGACATGTCGCGAGAAGACAAGAGGTGATGAACGTGGAAGCATCAGGGAGGAGACTGAGAAAGCGGCGGTTCCAAGCGGTGAACCAGGCTGCGAAGGGCTTCCATGGAGTGAACGTGGAAATCTCCCAGAATGGGAACGAGTGCAAAAAGAGGATCGGGAAGCCAGACCCCCAGCCCCCCCCCCCCCCCCCCCCCCGGCTACACATGAGAGGGAAAGTTTCAGGGGGAAAAAGAGAAGGAAACCTCTCTCTCACCGTCGACTTTTTTTTTACCGAAGACATCTTTAAAAAAACGTAAAAGTCTAAATGTTTTCCCACTCAAGTAAACACGAGGAATTCCTAAATTTCCAGCTTCCAACCTCGATACCATTTTGGAACACAGGGACTCCTCTACTTTAAAACGAGTTAGTTCCAGAGGTCTGTTTATAAGTCGATTTGTTCGTTAGCCCAACTTTACTCCAAGCATGTTGTACGGCATGTACACTAAACACGAGGAATAGCTTTAAAAGTTGTATAATCTCCTGTAGATGCCACTGGTTCTTAATGTTCTGCAGATGTAGATGCCACCACCGCCATCTATTGCATGGTGGTTGTACTTATGACTCTCGGTCCGAAAAGGCATCTGGACATACGGACAGGTTTGTTCTTATCTCTGAAAATTCCTAAATTGAATGTTCGAAGGTAGAGGAGTCCCTGTATTGTTATTTCTATCGTAGGGATGAGTCAGTCCATTAGTCAACTAATGTTTCACCATCATCATCATCATCTATCCCTTAACAAAAATGGTCATAGAGGTGACACTGATACCTCAGCTGTCAGCTCTGTCCACCCGTACCTGCCCTCCGCAGCAATCTGTCTGGTGTTGTGCCGGTTTACTAGCGGTAAATATCTGTCTGGTGTTGTGCCGGTTTACTAGCGGTAAATATCTGTCTGGTGTTGTGCCGGTTTACCAGCGGTAAATATCTGTCTGGTGTTGTGCCGGTTTACTAGCGGTAAATATCTGTCTGGTGTTGTGCCGGTTTACTAGCGGTAAATATCTGTCTGGTGTTGTGCCGGTTTACCAGCGGTAAATATCTGTCTGGTGTTGTGCCGTTTTACCAGCGGTAAATATCGTCACATTTTTTCATAGACCGATCTCGGGTCATCTTCTTCTTTCTTCCACGACGCCCCATGAGGAGTTAATGTCCCCCTTTTTGCGTCACGTGACGAAACCATTTCAGTTTCCTCAAACAAAGTTTAATTCTTAACTTTGGAGCTTTCGTGACTGCAGGAATTATTCTTTGGTTCTTTCGGTAAAGTCACGTATAAAGAAAAAATAATAAATTAAATAATAGCATACGACGTTTCGATTGCAACACAAGCAATCATCATCAGGTATAATGAAATAGCGACATAAAATCTAACCAGAAAAAATTATAGACAGACATATAAGCAGACAGATATCACCAAGATACACAGAGCGGGCAACACAGGTACAGAGAGGGGTGATCGTCTCTGTGGGGTGGCCTTAAATAGACAGAGGGGGGCGGAGGCAGCGAGAGGGAGGGGTTAGAGACAAAATTTACATGTCAATGAGTACAACAAAATGGAGTGAGCAGGCTTAGGGGGAGAAAGAGACACACTAAAATTAAATAACCTAGCAAAGTATCGAAATGTTATGTAAAACGACACAGAGAGTCGGTCAACACGCAATTAACGCATAGCCTGGTCGATTACGTATTTCAAAGATTGCTAAGTTAGAATTTAAGTGTGAAAATTTCAAAGAAAGACAAAACATAAAAAAAAGAGGGACGGAGACAACCAGACAGAGCAGAACCTAAGAACGACAAAAAACGAGTGTAGACATAAAAAATTACACTAAATAAACAGGCAGAGAGAGAGAATAAAAAACCCAGAGAGAGAGAAAAAAGGTAAACTTGGAACTTCCCCGTAGAAGTGGTTCAATCTTAACTTTGGAGCTTTCGTGACTGCAGGAATTATTCTTTGGTTCTTTCGGTAAAGTCACGTATAAAGAAAAAATAATAAATTAAATAATAGCATTGAACGTCTCTCTTATACGTGACTTTAAGGAAAGAACCAAAGAACAAAGTTTAATTGTTAACACAAATTTGGTCCTCGTTTTATCAACCAGAGATATAAGGCTCCGTCGACCCACACAGTGGTATTTGAACTCAAAACTTTCAAATTGTGAGCCGCACATTATAATCACCGATTTTCCCAGGCAGATGGTTTGTTTTTTTTCCCACTGGCAATGAAGGTTTTCTTTATAATTTCCCCCATCTCTTGGGATTAGCCACAACATTTGGTAATTACACTGCAGTGATGGACCAGTGTTACTCATAAACACTCACACCAGAAATAATATACTAATCATGCTTTAACACAGCACCGTGAATGTGTGCGTATATATATGTGTGAAAAGTAGTGTAGCGATTAGCGCGCTGCGCTACGAACCCGACGACCCGAGTTCAATTCCTGCTCACGGCCAACAATAGTGACGATTATCTGAACCGATTCTGGGCCTCGCCTATATCGACTCAGCCTTAAATGAGTACCTGGTGCGATGTGTAAACATCGCAACTGGGTAGACAAAGGTGGCCGGGCGTGGTGCTGGCCACCCACTCGCGTGCCGTGGCCGGCCATCATAGGTGCTGGCTAAAAGCACTTGCCCCAACAGCCTGTTAAGGCTATACGGGGGATCTATGTCTTTATGTGTGTATACCTAGTGCTGTGTGTAAACCACAGTACGTACTGGGGAGAGACAATGACAGCCAGGCATGGTTCCGGCCACACCACTCCCTCGTGTGAAGTCTTGGCCTTCGTAGGTACGCGCTAACAGTACTTTCCCCAAAAGCCGATGTAGGCTACATAGGGGATCTTTGTCTTAGTATACATACATATACACATCTCTCAGGTAGCATTGTGTTCTTTATGTTAAAGTTTGGATTGGCTGTGAAGGCTGCATTTCAAAGTAACATTTCGTACCTGCTATTGATTCTTGGCCTGCAAACGGATCTCCCTGGAAAGGATCGCCTGGAAAATAAACACGGAGAAATTGTACGTTCAGCATGATGACATTGTGGGTTTTTAATGCGGCGATGATTGTTGGTAATTATTGTGATCATAATACATATGATGATGATGACGGTAATGTCGAATATACGACATAAGATGAAGATGATTATGATAAAACAAGCTGATGATTATGATGATGGTAATTATAAGACTCATGATGATTACAAGACACATGATGATGATGAAGATGATCATTATAAGATACCTATTGATGACGGTGATGATGATGATGGCACTTAAGGATGTCGATGATGATGATGAGACATGCATTAGTATGGACAGTTCACAAACTAACCCCATTTACCCAAGGTAGGAATGCAGTTTGCTCAGAGAGTGCATGTTTTCTTTTATTATATCCAGCGTAGCTGTGGTTACGAGGCAACTAATGAATTGCGCCGCATGCTGGGACACGGAGTCATATACCCGGGTGGATCGACATCCCTGCTCAGAAAAATAAAAATCGAAGCCGGTTCATTCTGGAAAAACCTCACAAGGCCGCCATTTGATTCTAGCTGCGCAAGTGGGTTGTGGAAGGAAAACATCCAATGCCTCCACAATTCTTTGCCGAAGATAAAATCGTTTAAAAAGTGAAGTCAACAAGACCAGCTCGGCAATGTGACACCAGCACGGGATCGTGATTCTGTCTCGTTAGGGATGCCTTGATTGGAAATGGTGAGCAAGGCATTAAAAGTATGACTCTTACACGAGACTTACTGTGGCGCAGTAGATCTGGCCACATATATTACGGCTTAAAGAGCAGTGCAGATCAGAGCTATTGTTGCGTAACATTTAATAAAGGGGGGGGGGGTATGGAAATAGTTTTAAGATAGTGAAAGAAAAAAGTGGTCTGGTAACTTTTATTTAGGCCAATCAATTCCTCATTGAAAGCCTTTACGTAAGCTAGTTGAGGGCCCAATGAGCTAGCGTGTTTGTAATAAGGGAAGTTTGGGAAATGTGCTGTAAAATAATAACTAAATAAATATAAAATGGATAGTCCATTTTCAATCCACTTCTGGATTAAGGCGTCCCCCATGCCATGTCGGTCTGGGTGTTGTTTTGACGATGCTGCTTTCACCACAATGGTCTGTGCAAGTGGGTGACATGGTAGGGGGAGAGCCAGGACCAGCTCCGATATCACGTGCCACTGATGGTAGCCTTGGCTGGCAATTAAACTCAAGTGGCTTTGGTTTTCAGTGCTCTGTGCTAACCAGTGCACCACCATCTCCACCCAAAGATTATGGGTGTTTGATTAAATATACCATAAAAAATCTAAGAATAATATATTTACACACACTAACAAATGCAAAAAAATAACATAATTTAACTAAAGAGTGTTAATTCATTATCTCCAATAACTTTAAATGCAATAATTATTGCTGGTGGGTGTAAGAGTGGTGGTGCAGTGAATAGCACACTGCACAAATGAACCCTGCGCCAAGAGTTACATTTCCGGCCACAGCGAGCGTCAGTGGCGAACGACATCTGAACTCATCCTGGGCCATGAGCCCTCGCCAACTCATGCTGAATAGCGTGGTAAGTATGGTCAAACAAAGATAAAGATCCCCCGTATTGCCTCAATAGACTGTTGGGGCAAGTGCTGTGAGCGAGCACCTATAAAAGCCAACACGGCACACTATGGGGTGGGTGGCTTACACCACGCCCGGCCGCCTTTGTTCCCCAGTGGTGATGTTTTTGCACATTGCATTTGAGGCCGAGTCGACCTAGGGGAGGCCCAGGACTGGTTCAAATAATATTCACCGGTATTGGCCGTGAGCGGGAATCGAATTCGGGCCACCAGGTTCGTGGCACGGCGCGCTAACCGCTGCATGCTCAGACAATCCTGATGTGACCGACATGCTGAGAGGAGAAACCATCCAACAGCGGACTAGCAAGGGGGTGTAAATAGTGATTCATTAGATTATGGGACCTCCCTTGCCAGGATCAAAATGTAGTGACGTTATGGATGTCACTCTGACGCTAAGCGCCAACTACTGTCGCAGGAGTGGAGAAGCATGTCAGGAGTCTTCTGGGCCACCGGACCACAGATCGACAGGCAAGCGGGCCATAGGGGGCTTGAGGGACACGTGATGGGCAGCCGAGAGCTTCTGGCAGGATCGAGGGGGGGGGGCGTGGCCGAGGGCGGAGCTAAAGGAGAAGCCGCGACAGCGATTGGGGCTCGTCTGTGGAATCGGCCCTGGGTCCTGCGGCTCGTCGTCTACGGGTCTTCGCTTGGCATCGTGGGTCAGGCAGCGCGTAGGCTGACTGACCCAGTCCGTGTAGTTAACCCGCTGCTCACGTAGTTAACCGTGCAGCTACACCTAGCAGTAGAACCAGTGGATGTTTAGTGAGTCACCCTGTAGGGGAGTTAATAAATAAACGTGTTGCCTCCAACTCCAGTGTGTGCCTCCGTACAACACACTACAAAAATATAAGAATAGGTTTTACCCTTTCTGGCAATAAAACAGTTTGTGCTAAGATGTTCAAACACCAAACAGAAACCTTTTGCATGTAATCATGTCTGCATTAACCACATATGCTTGTAGTGAACATGCATGTATATGTAGTTAATGCAAAAGGTTTCTGTTTGGTGTTTGAACGTCTTAATACAAACTGTTTAATTGCCAGAAATGGTAAAACCTATTCTAATAGTTATTCATTATGTTAACGCTGTGAAAGGTATTGTCATACGCTGCGTATAACACTGCCATACTTCCTTTGAAGGGATCCTCTGCTTTGAAGACGCTTTCTGTAGCGAAGGGGTGCTCCTTTTGGAAGGGGTCCGTCTTGCCCTCAGCGGATGACGGAGGGAACATTGGCGCTTTGGAGTGAAAGGGATCCTCCTACAAAAGGGAAGAGAAATATACATAAAGTTGAAAATTTACGAGAAAAATTACTTATGAAACTTACAAGTCATCTTGAGGTTTCTAAGCATTAAAAACCAACCTCTCTACAAGCTATAATGCACTGTGGCACTTGACTACTTTCTTTCATCATTTTGGTATGTTTTCCCCCAGTAATTTTCCGCAATGTTGCTGATCTCTATTTTCACGTTTGCCGGCCAATGCTGGCTGAAGGGCCGTGCCAGACCAAAGCCATCGCCCTTGACCAGCTCTGCACAACATCGAGTGCTGAAATGAAACTCTACCGGCGGCTGTGGATGGGGATAATTAATAAATAAAACATTCAACACTGATGCACATTCCGTGGGATGGGAAAATTATCCCGGCTGACGCATGTGGTGCACATTTACGACACTTAATGGATGGCTTGAATATTAGTAGGGCTAACCGCGGAGTGGGGGGGGGCAAGGGCAAATGGTCCAAGTCACCAATAATGGAACGAGGGTAAATGGCATTTCTGAAAAAAATCCCTTATGTTTGAAATTGCCGTCCGTTTTGTATAACCGAGACTGACACCAAAGCTGCTAATGCATGTATGAAATAAACGCCTTGGCTCCCCGCCTCCTACCCAACTTTGTTACAATCCCAGACGTGACTCTAATTGGCTCATAAGAGCATGTGACAGCAGCTGGCCCACGCGCCACCCGTTCAGATGGTTAATCATCGCCAAGAGGTAAAGCACTAAGCAGCGGTGTAACCCGCCCGGCACAATCCAATTGATCACACGTAAGTGACCAAACAAGCAAATAAATGTGCCTCTTTCACAGATCTGTTCCTCCAAATAAAAAAATATAAGTGTTTATTACACATCCCATCACCCACATGGCCTTTCTTCTGGGAATGCATCATTTCAGCAGCAGCGGGGTTTCAACGCAAGCGACGCTCTGGACCGGATTCTACGTTCGAGATCTCATCAGCTGAGTCAGACTAGCTTCAGCCAACAGCGGTGAACTGCCAGATATTTGTGGGCAAGGACCCCCCCCCCTCCTCTGCTCGGACATGAGCCTGAATTCAAAGCAAAACTATTTAATAATCATTAGCTGAATTGTGGAGAATATAAGAACAAAATAAATAGCCAAATTACGTCTCCTTCACATATCTGTCTCTGCATTTGAAAAACGAAATAATTTATGAGAAATGTTTTTAAAAGCTGCTCTTTCGGGAAAGCAGTGGCGCGTGTTACTCCTTTATCCTTCGCAAAATTTTGCCTCCCACGTCCGACGCATCTTCAGGCCTAAAGATGTGTTTACCTTTCTTATACTTTTCACTCCAATCGTTTTTTTTAATTGTTGGAACTTTATGACCTGCACCAAGTGGACATCTTTGAAAAAGAGCTTTATAGCTCATTGGCTTTCTCCAGGATAAATAAATATTCTGATTCTAAAGATGGTCACTGCAGGTTGGCCTAGGACAGGTTCAGATATCACTGGCTACTCATGTTAGCCGTGGCTGGGAATAAAACTCGCGTCGCTGGGTTCACATCACAACATGCAAACCATGCATCATGGCACCATGTGCATGAGCATTAATTGTTTGTCTATCGTGCAAATTATCCCAAAAGAGTAACCTTTGAGAGAATTTCTCATATATCGAGCCGTGAACACATTCCTGCGGAGGGAGCTGGTAGGAACGTTGGGTTGCTCGGTCAATGGTCAGGGTCAACGGCGGCGTGGTGTATTCCACAAATATGCCCGCTGTGAGGGCGGGCACAAGCCGGCGTGAGTAGGTTAAACGTTGAGTTTTATAAGGGCACCACGGGGTGACCAGCCCCTCTCCACCCAGCCCCACCCCTCCCACCCAGCCCCTCCCCACCCAGCCCCTTCCCTCCCAGCCCCTCCGCTCCCCACCCAGCCCCACCCTCCCCACCCAGCCCCACCCTCCCCACCCAGCCCCACCCTCCCCACCCAGCCCCACCCTCCCCGCCCAGCCCCCACCCTCCCCACCCTCCCCACCCAGCCCCTCCCCACCCTCCCCACCAAGCCCCTCCCCACCCAGCCCCTCTCCACCCTCCCCTCTGCACACAGCCCCACCCCTCCCATTTTTGGATGCACGACGGATGGACAGAATAATCCCCTGTGGGCTGGTGTAACCAGGAGGTTCCTACCAGTAAAACATACATCAATACACAAGTATATTTTACACATGCCACGGCTGATGGGATGGGTCACACTTGGAACCATGCCTAAAGGACAGGGTCCTTGCCGGCAAACATCTGCCAATTCACGAGCATTTGTTAATTTTTTGGGCATCTTCTCTAGGGACTTACAACTAATGCTGACAGCTTGTGTATTTACAGGGACTCCTCTACTTACGAACGAGTAACGTTCCAGAGTTCTGTCCGTAAAGCGAATTGTTCACAAGTCCAACTTTACTCCTGTCGATTCCAAACGTGCTGTACGGCGTGTAGACTAAACACGGGGAATGGCTTTAAAGTTGCATAATCTCCCGTAGATGTAGATGCCACTGGTTCTTCATGTTCTGCAGATGTAGTTGCCACCACCGCCATCTATTGCACAGCGGTTGAACTTATGACTCTCAATCCAAACGTACGGACAGGTTTGTTCATATCTCTGAAAGTTAATGTCGAATGTTCGTAAGTAGAGGAGTTCCTGTATATGGTTATGTGTGTTGGTGGACTTCAGAGACAAGCCAGCACGATCGTTAAATATTGCATCAACATGGTTTGGTTTGACCGCCGTTTCTCGCTAGAGTATGAGATGCTCCATAATGTATGACGCACCACAAAGCTTTGGGGGTCATTTAAAAAAAGAAAAAGGTGTTCTTTATAAATCGGGAGTATGCGGCACAATGATTACGAAGCATCTAGTTTAATAATGGGGGAGAGGGTCCCCCTCCCTCCCGCCTGCTCCGATGAGTCCGGTGTGAGGGAGGATGTAAAATAAATAAATACATTTTATTTTAAAAAGCATGAAGGAAAGGTGTCTTCTGGAACGTTACTCTGAATGGCTGGTTGGCGATCTTCTGTCATCCGCGTGGTAAATATATCGCTATGACAAATCGAACCGTCTTCCTGAAGATGATGAAGGCAACTCAGTCTGGTGCACCCCTAACTTCGATTTCAAATAGAGGGAATAAAGCATCTTGTAATCCAGAAAATATGGAATAATAATCGAGAAGATAGGGAGCAGGGTTTCTGATCTTTCAGTATATGTGTATGTAGAACTTCTTTCGCACCGCACGTAGCCAGCGTGCTCATCGGAGGCGCTTTCAAAAGGGGGTTCATCAGCCCCCTCTAGCCCCCCCCCCGCCCGCCGCCGCCCACGGGACTCACTCTCCTAACAATCTGGCTTCTTAGTCGCCATCGCTTCATCAGCTGCTGTGCACCCTGGGATCTGCAAAAAAAAAAAACGACAGCCGCTCTCCCCCTTTCCCACTCCCCAGTGTGTCCCTACGACCCCCACCAGCCGTCACCACAGAGCCCTTATCTTCCCGTATTCTAATTCCCATCTCCGTCTCACGCTGCCATTTCTATTCTTTGCTTATTTATTAATTTTCCTTTCCCTTTCCTCGGACACTGTTCTTTCCAGGGATCGTATGCAACCTTGCTGCCCTCCCTCCACACGTATGGGATGACTGCCAACCTCCTATTTTGCTTGGCTAAGTCTATTTGCCTGCCGAGATATGTGGGTCTCTCTCGGCAACTCTCACCGTTGCTTGCAGCCATGAATAAGGGCAACTGCCAATTACCAGTTGCAGTGTAAAAGGCAGTCACGGACCTTTCCATGCTCAATGAAATAAGTACCGGTTTTTTTTAGGCATTCAATCGTGGTTCTACTGCGTAGATTGTAACGGTCGTGTTGCCGCATATCGGGGTGCGCCGTGTGCCGCTCGGCATGACGTCCGATGTTTCCCCCCACGTGCTGGGAGCTCCTTCAGTTCACCTCCTGAAGAAGCTCCCAGCAGGAGAGCTGTTCACGCGGTGTTTGTTCGACAAAAACGGGCGCTGCCACATTATGACTCACTTTTGAATAGGCAACATTAATGTCAACGGATGAGAAATCGTTTCATTCTTTTTAAATAGCTCTTTTTTTCATATATGTCGATTTGTGCCAATGGCAAACACACACCTGCCCCACTGTGAGCCCACAATTGTCAGTGTCCAACAACTACAGGGGCAATGACATTGAAACCCACAAGGGTTCGTTTGCTTGCCAAACCCAAAGCACGACGTTAAAAAATCCAAGCGTGCCTTTACAACGAACGGCGGCATTTAAGGCACCGTAACGTTACACGTGCGCGCGCCCTCAATCTAAATGCAGCCCGCGCCGTGGGTTTCAGCGGGGCACGGCCAGCGGGAACGCAACGGCGGGGTGAATTTATTGTGCAGCCCGCTCGTGAGAAAGCCCGACCAAGGCAAAGCAGCCGACACCCAGGGAAGCAGCTCACTCCTGTTAAACGTCTCTTCGTCCCCCGCCCCCCTACCACACACTGGCTCGCAAATACACTCAGCATCGGGAGCCCTAATTGCATACTTAATTGTTAATTGATCACAAGGCTGCAGATTAATTAATCCATGTGAGCGGAGACGCTTTTGTAAATTAGGCTAAATTGGATTTGTTAAGTGAGCAGTTCGGTCGCCCGCCATGAAGTACCGCGGAAACACGCGCGCCTCCCAAAGAAACGAGTTAAACGCAGCGCTGGGGCACACCAGATTGCAGAGCACGGAGCACGCTGCGATGTTATCGCTGCTGGTATCTTAATGCCGGGGATGGCAGTGGAATGACAAAGAATGACGGCAATAACACTCGTCGAAATGAATTAACGTACAACATCGGGGGAGCAGTGGCTCGGTGGTGTAAGCACGCCTCGCCCGACGTCTCTAAGTTGAATTTACATTCAGTGGCGAGAAAATCGGTGGCGAGTGATATTTGAACCGGGCCTGGCCCTTAACCAACCCACACCGACCGGGGTGGTGAAGT